CCCAGTCTCAAAAAGACAAAAAAAAGTGGTGCTTATATTTAGTAATGTATCACATATTTGGAAATTGCTGAGTATGCTTTAAATATGTGTACCACAAAAATAAACATATGATGCAAGTTCATGAGTTTGATAGTAGTCCACAATGTATGGTTACATCAGAACATCATGCTGGACACCAGAAATGTACACAACTTTTGTTCATCAACTTAAAAGACCTGACAGGTACAAAAAAGTGCAATGGTTGAGCCCTTACCCAGCATGTCTGAGGACCTGAGTTCAATTCCTGAAAAATAAAAGTCAAGGAGAAAACTGGGCATTGATGACACAGCTGAGAAGACCTGCATGCAAGCAGGGCAGAAGACAGCAGCATCAGAAGACTCCTGGCAACCAACGGCTCTCCTCCTGCAATGACGCCTGTCCCTCCACCTGCGTATGTTCACATGGAGAGCTTCGGGACAGTCCCAGGGCCTCTGGAGCTAGGACACTGGGATTAAACTCCTGTCTCTGCCATATAACTGCTGCTGACCTTCAGAAGTTACTTCCCAGTCATTTGTTGAAAATGGGGATCCAGGCCGGGTGTGGAGGTGCATTCCTGTAATCCCAGCACTCGGGAGGCTGAGGCAGGAGGATCGCTGTGAGTTCAAGGCCAGCCTGAACTGCAGAGTGAAACCCTGTCTCAAAAAGCCAAAAAAAACCAAACAAAACAAAAATGGGAATCCTGAGCCTGGCGTGGCGGCACACACGCTAATACAGTACCGGCGCTCTTGGAGGCAGAGGCAAGAGAATTTCAAGTTTGAGCCCACTCTGGGCAGTTTAGCAACTTATGGACAGCCTATGTCAAAACAAAAAATAAAAAAGGGCTGGAGATGTGGCTCAGTGCAGAGGCCCTGGAAGCAGTTCCCAGTACCACAGGGAAAAAAAATCACATCAGTCAGTGTGGTGACACTATACCAGTGTCAGCTGCACCTGCTTAAACCCCCTGTCCTCAAAGGACAGTATTCCCATGTAAATGTCCACGTCAGTGTGGGGAGAAGCTATGGACAGTGCTGTACCCGTCTCAGTGAGCGTATTATCTATAAAACCTGGAAGAACTTCTTCATCCACAACAAATGTCAACTGACGGCAACTATAATTTTCTTGTATCTATGGTAGTGGGTATTTTTTTGGGGGGGGTACCAGGAGGTTGTGGGTATTTTTGATGTTCATTTAAAATTGTATATAAAACTTACAGACATGAATGAAAAATGATCAGTTTCATTTCTGCAAAATGAAACTCTATCCTACACCAACCAACCTACCTACATACTGATATAAAAATTTTACTTGTTTTTAGGGGGCAGAATTTGAGAACCACGCAAAATTTTCCAGTTTCAGCAGCAATAATGTGCTCCCTCCCCAGGCTGAGCAAATACCCACCAGAGTCCAAAGACATGTCTGAACATTATTGAATTCTGTGTCCAAAAAAAAAAATACCACCTGGAATAGTTAATAAGACCACTGACTTCGGCTCTTCTGTTTTGCTTTTGCAGCTTGCTTTAAAGGCAATTACTATTCAGTCACTGTGCACACAGACAAAATTCACCAGCTTGGAATGTAGAGGCAAGTGAAACAGAAGCAAAGGGAACCACCCATTACAGTTTCCAAGCAGCAGCCGACACCAGCCTAAATGTTTAGAAGACAGAGCATGCATCACACCCAGTGATAATCTGGACGTGTCTTCAGGTCTGTTCAGGAAACACTCAAGGAGAAGCAGGTTGAAAAAGAATAATGGAAAAAGACAACAGGAAGAGAGAGTGAGTGCACAATGTGTTTTAAACTCAAATTGTTGGGCTCAGGATATAGCTCAGCGGCACAGCACCTGCCTGGCAAGCGCAAGGTCCTGAGTTCAACTCTTGGTACCAAAAAAACCCACCAAAAACACTCAAATTGGTTGTTTGGTTTTTTTTTTGTCTTTTTGAGACAGGGTCTTGCTATGCAGTGCAGGCTGGCCTTGAGCTCACTTTGTAGCCCAGGCTGGTCTCAAACTTGCAACGATCCTTCTGCCTCAGCCTCCCAAGTGCTGGGATTACAGGCGTGTGCCACTGTGCCTGGCTCAAATTGTTATTTCTGGGCAATCAAAATACCAAAATCCAAATCAGAACTGCTGGTCTCCATAGAAAACTACCAAAATGAAGCATAATTCGAGTGGTACACACTTAGAGATAGTAAAGAAAATCTACAGTTCTAACACTTACAGCTTTAGAAAACTGGCCATAGTTTTATATCCACATATTTTACAGATGTCCCACATTTCTGTAGACCTGTGCCGTAAGTATTAGCAACTTTCAGAAGGGAAGCACTAGAACGCAAGGGGCAGACATCACATAGTCTTTTTAGCCTACCCTGAATAAAATCCAGATTTCTTCATGTTAAGACGATAATTACTGAGCCTGGCGTGGTGGCGCATGCCTGTAATCCCATCACTCGGGAGGCTGAGGCAGGAGGATTGTTTTGAGTTCAAGACCAGCCTGGGTTGTAAAGTGAGCTCAAGGTCAGCCTGAACAGCATAGTAAGACCATCTCAAAAAAAAAAAAAAGATAATTACCATAAGCTAAAGAACTGTACATAAGGATAAATAAAAAGATAAATCTCATGTTTCAGGATACAGAATTACGAAGGGAGGGTGCTGACTCTAATATAGTTTGGATTAAGGTGCCAGTAAACCGGATGTAAAGGGGGAAGTACATCAATGCTTGAAAAAAGGAGCAAGACAGAATTAAAGTTCAACTCCCTCATCTGCTTAGCACATAACTAGCCTAACAGCACCCAGCAAAAAATTCAAACAAGGGACCTGTATTGTTTGCAGCGTCGTCAAGATGCAGCCTCATTAACTGCCTTCACACGCACCCTAAACCTGACTTGGCCTGTCTTCCAGTCTTATCTCATTAAAGTTCAACTTTTAAAAGTATTTTTCTTGCTTGGAAAGTGCTTTTTTTTTTAACCTTTCAATTAAATTGATTTCCAAAGGTGAAACCAATTTCACCTGAAAAAGCCGCCACTTTAAACTTAGAAAAAGCTTTGAAGGTCTTCTAGTGAAGAACAGAAGTCTGATCAATGGTGTTATTCAAAACAGGACTAGCGAAAGTCACATTTATTTGCGGTTGTGGCTGTTATTAAGGCAGCTTAAATCCTTTGTAAATTAGCCTTTTCGGCTCGCTAGACTGACTGAGCACAGGCAAGCAGGATGACTGATTGTGGTGCAAAACCCCATCAATGCCACAGGAAGAACTGGCGTAGTGTCAGGGTAATCGAAAGCCACCCCCAAACCCCATGACCTCCTTCTCCAGGAGAGGGGTCTGAGGTTTACGCTCACACCTGTCTTCACTGGCAAATGCATTTGGCGGTGAACACAGGATTATTCAGGCACACACTTCCTTCCAGGGAGCACAGCCCAGCTGAAGAGAGGCTGGCAGTTAGCAGCGCTATCCCACTTCCCCAGGAGGAATAAGGAGCACAGACTGCCTGCTGTGTCTTTAATCTGGAGACCTTTCATCCTGTACTTTCCTTCACCTGCAGCCTATACTTAGCAAGCCAACTTAGTTTTCTTCCTTGTATCTCCTTTAACATCAACCACAGAAATCAGGAGTGCTATGAATGAAAAAGGAAGCCTGACTTGGGACAATCGTCCCTCAAGCACTGTGAATTACTTAAAAACACACTGTGTGTGCACACTAGCAGCCCCCTAGAATCCCTGATCAGCCGCTTTCCCACCCCTCAAGGAGCTGCAGTCTGTAAATGCTTTACTTGGGCCTCTCTTTCCTCCAAGCAAGGAGCACTAAGACTGCAGTCCACCGACAACTACCAGTTCCGCCGTGGATGTACGGTAGACTATCCTATTGATGAAACTGAAGATTCAACGGAAGCCTGGCGTGGTGGCGCACGCCTGTAATCCCAGCACTCGGGAGGCTGAGGCAGGAGGATCGCTGCAAAATCGAGATCAGCCTGGGCTACAAAGTGAGCTCAAGGCCAGCCTGAACTGCATAGTGAGACCCTGTCTCAAAAAAGACTCCCGCTCCCCCCAAAAAAAAGATTTAAAGGAAAACAGACTTCAAATTCTGGAAAATGCACAAGACTGGGATGTATAAATGCCATGAAGTCCAGTGGTACCTGCTACACACGTGTAAGGAACAAAACTAAATGCGTAGCACATTAACTACCTAATCTGTCCAAAGCACTACAGCTGCGGAGAGAAAGGAAGGAAAGTGACAAAGCATTGCACTAAAGTTACTGTCGTGGAGTCAGTGTCCAGAAGATAGATCATTTAAATTCTGTCATGTATCTCATGCCTAAAAACAATAAACCTACTATGTAGTTTGCACTGTTGGCACGTCTCCAGAATAAAGAGTTGCATGTCTTAAGATACATTTATTTTGATTATTTCATTACTTCGTTGTCCAAAATTCTCGTGTCTTAGAAAAGTTCTGCATAATTTCTCCTGCACCATTTCCTCTTTACCAACACTGTTTTTTTCTTCCTGCCCTCTCCTCTTCCTTTTACCTCCTCCCATCCCGCAGACCAATGAAAACAACCTCCTGGATTTTTCTCCTGCTTCTTAACCCCGCACAATCAAGCCTTCTTCTCAGCTGGGGAAGCGTCAAAGAAAGACTGAGTTCTGAGCCGTCTCTCTACCCGAAGGGGCCAACTTTTGCACTCCGCACCGCCTGCCAATGGGCTGAAAGCTGGAATCAGTGGAATTACAGTATTGGCCCTTTACAATCCATCCACCCCTTGGCCAGGAGGGGTGGTGCACACCTGTAATCCCAGCACGAGGGAGGCTGAGGCAGGAGGATCGTTGCGAATTGAAGACCAGCCTGGGCTACAAAGTGAGTTCAAGGCCAGCCTGAACTACATAGCGAGACCCTGTCTCAAAAAGATGGGGGAAAAAAAAAAAAAAGAGGAGAAAATGATAAAATCCCGCACCTGTGTCCTTGGCCCACCCAACCCCACTGCCAAGCGCGGACCTGAACCCGTTCTGGCCAGGGCCTGCGGGGGTGTCCTGAGTTCCAGCTGCAGCGGCCACCGATGTCACACCGCCCGGGAGGCGTGGCCAGGCCACCGACGGCTTTGGAAAAGTCCCGAAAGGGGTCCTGCCAGGCGCTTCCGGGGGCCGCAGAAAGACAGCCACGGGCAGCGCAGCCTCCCCTCGCGGGCCAGCGGGGGCGCCTCGGGAGCGATGCGCTCTCGGGCACGGACCTGTGCGGAGGTCGGTGGCTTCCTCCAACCCTTTCCTACGGGACTGCGTGAAACGGCTCCCCGGGCCGGACTTCAGTTCCCGGCCCCACCTGCCTCTGCCAGCACGCCCGCGAGCCGGAGAGCCCAGCCGCGCTGCAGACCCGGCGCTCCCGGAGCCCCCGATCACCCCGGAGCGCCGCCGCGCAGCGCTCTGCGGATCACCCGCGCTCCCTCCCGGCCCGCACTCGGGACGAACTCGGGACGGCCGAGCCCACGGT